TTTATGAGGGGACGCGCGTGTCTCTCTCTCTCTCTCTCTCTCTTTGCGTCGCGCACGCATATAAACTCGGATCAATGCTTTTGAGGTAGTTTCATAAATTGGGGGATACGTGCTACACGAAGGAGAGCTGTATATTTAAATTGATACGACGTGCTTTGGAATTGCGGCTCCGTAGAGAAAAAGTAGCTCTCGGCCAATGTTTCTCGTCTAGCGCGTATATGAATAGGCCGATCGATTCTTCAACGTCGTAATCGGATTCTTACGATTATTGTTAGGCCTTGTCTCTCTTTCTCTCTCTGTCTCTCTGTACAGACATACGACTTAAAAAAAGAGCTTGACTCGATCGAATGTGACTGAGCTTGAGCCGTGGAGAGGCGCGCGTACGAAAATAGAAAAAGTGCTAAATTCAGAATTGCCTCCTTGGTGACTCGAGTCAAAGCTACAAGTCAAACGAGAACAAAGTTTTCATCGATGCCAATTCCTCTCTCGGTTCACACTGTGTCGTTTCGTATAATAATCAAACGAGCCAGTTTACTATTATTCTTCGTGTTTATTATTTCGAACATGAATGTTGCAGGGAATTTTGCGCAACGACGACGAAATAGCGTCGAACAACAGCCGCTTCCTCCTAACGCCGACAAAATTGTCAATCTGCTCGCTGAAAACAAAGTGAATCTTCGGCAAGCTTTTCTCTTAATTAATTGACTCTGGCTTGTTTGGCAATCTCGCGCGCTCGCTTCATTTTCGGAATGACGTGCAGGATTGCGCGATTCTCCTCGAATCGGAGCCCACTATGTGTTTTGCGAGTTCTCAATTTTTGCAGATGTTGCACACCTGATAACCGCGACTCGAGCTGCGCAAACATTATTAAGTATGTATACTCGAAATCGCGCGCACGTGTGCTTTTATAATCTTCCAGGAGATCTGCTCGCGGTTGCGGAAGTGCGCGCTTTGCTTCGTACGTAGATGTACATTGAAAACGAGAGTCTTCTCTTTTGGCTCGCTCGAATGCACACGAGAATCGATTCGGAGTTCACCGATCGCAGAGCCGAAAATTACGCTTCGATATGCAATAGTTGGTTCGCACAGCCAATACAGATATTGCCAAATGCCGTCGATTCAACTGCGCCGCGCGGCATAGCAATCTCGTTTCAAAAGCCGCTACTGACTTGAATCAACGTTTATAAGCGCGCAGTCATTTTTATGGGATTATCGACTGTTAGGATGGATCATTAGTATGCTCGAAGCACGTTTGTCTTTGAAAAAGTTTAGAGGAGAAGCCCTCGCCTACGCGCCATCGGTGGCGATGAATTTTGCATTTAAATGTACAAGTTGGCGTACAATATACATAATGCCGCGTGACATAACGCGTAGAAGAATTTTATCTCAGTGGGTCAATGTCGCCGCGCGGAGAAAACCTATGCGTTAAAGGCTTTCCTCGCAATATGAACTTGTGCCGATCGCCGCAACTTATTTTCCTCCGTCTTTTCCCATTCTCGACTCGACGATCAGCCTTAAAAATTCATTAGGATCATGAGAAATCAATTGCCGAAGCAAAAGAAAAAAATGCAACAAATAATTCAGTAGACTAGTTTATCGTTGTGGCCAACTCAACTCGTTTGTTGAATTATGTAATTCGTACGAGTCTGTAAGAGGCATTATCGATTCTCCATTTGTGAGTTCCTAACCACGTTCACCTTCGTACGCGGGTAAAAAACATTATTTTTCGCGCGCACTAAATCATAGGCATGTAACGTTCCACCCTGTAATAATGGAGCATCTGACACATCTGTGAGTTTCAATATATGTACACATCGACTTTCTCTGCCTCTCTCCTTTTTGCTGTAGGTATATGACGTGTTTGAATAAGCAGACGACGAAGGGCAAATCGATACGTATCGCACCCCCGAAAAGGCGATGTCCCCTCTCAGCCCAAGTGGAAATTCCCCGCCGACGAGCGCAGAGTCGGTCCGCAATTCGCTGATGTACTGCGGTGGATGACCCAATTACCCGCGATTATTCGGGATACACGCGTAAAAGGACAAATTCGATCTGTTACGCTTGAAGCGAATGTCCGATGAGCTACGTATTTTTTTCCGCTGCAGCCAATAAGATCGTCGCTAGAAAAATGTTACGAGCGGTGCGTGTCAACCGCGAGAGGCCATTCAACTATCGATCGGTCGTAGATACATAATATGATATCGTAACGACTCGTCCTGCGGACACGTCTTTTCATCCTCCCTGCCTGAGGCGCTTGGCCCACGGCTTTTATCATGCTTCCGCATAAAACGGCACCCGATGCCGAAACGAAAATACGTGTATTGTCAAGACTGTTTTTAATCGGGCGTCGATGCATTTCTCAGGATCCCCTGTGATGGAGTGCACAAAATATTCCCAAAGTTAATTATTACGTTCAATTTCATATATATAAGCTCGCGGGCTTTGGCGTACGAATAATATTGATGCTTCGTTTATTGCACCAAGCTGCGAAAACAGGAACAAGCTCACGCGCCAAAACGTCTGAATATTTCATTGGGTACGCTCGATGTTTGCTCTGAAAACAGTTTATGGAGGGAATATTTTTTTCAAATCCATAAATAAAGCTCGGGCGCTTAACGAGGCCAACGGCGCGGACGATCAATAATAACGAGATTTGCACAATCGTAAATAAACGCGACCGCAGCTCTCGAGCGACTGCAGCAGATATGCAACAATGTAACTCGTGTCCTGCAATTAGCCGAGCTCAGCGACAGATTTTACCGGAGTAATCTTCTTCTAAATACTATACGGAGTTGCGCAAAGTTTCGTCGAAAAATAGCGAAAAAATTGCGCGTGCACGTGCACATGTACACAAAGCCAGCAGCACACTTACAGACAGCTCGCAAGTTTATTCACCTTTCACTTTTGACTCTCTCGTTGAACTCGGCGCGAGCCTCGCACTGCGCCTGCCTACATAATAAGCGATGAAAACAGTCTCGACATAAGTAAAGTGCTGTTCTCTCTCGCGCCGGTCTGCTGCTGTTACTGCTGCAGGTGACGAAAACTTCTTCACTGCGACAAAGCCGCGCCGTATAAATTGTATATTTTCAAGTTTAGCAACGCGCGCCTGATTTCGCACAATGTAATTTCTCGTAACAAAAAAAAAAAAAAAAAAAAAGCGAGGAAGAGACGAGAACTATGCGTAAAGGAGCTGTACATAGGAACAAAACAACCAACGCGCTACCTTTGAACTTTGCTCAGCAAAAAAACTTTCCCTCGCGAAAGCCCTTGACGAATGAAGCTCGCGAGCGGAAGGAAAATGCTAGTTTCTACTTCCGTCTCGAGTTTCCGTGAAAGGGAAAAACTATCCGCGCGGCCGCGAACAAGGTTAAAAGTCCAAAACTTCAGGGATTCACCTAGATGAAATATCAAAAAGGCGCAAAGTTCAGATCGGCATTAGTGATACGGGGGCTAAAAATATTAAGAAGCATCATGGGCTTCAAATCAGCTGATTTGACGGTGTGCGTGTGTGTGTGTGTTAGAAAAGAAGGGAAGAATTGCCTGCATACATAAGAGCTTCATCTCAAATTAAATGTAAGAGAATTCAGGATTTCCTTAAAGCGATGGCACTCTTTTATTTTGCAGAACTTGTAAATTGACTATATACCTGCTTTGTGCCTCTTAAAGGATATACGGCCGATGATCTTGACCTTTATTATCATCATTATTATACACGAATATCAAATGAATCACGAATATGTACGTTATTAACAGGCTTATTGCGGTCTGTTGGAGCAGAAGAAACGTAGCCTATTTCTACTCGACGACTCGCTATGATTATCCGTTCTTAGCGAGCGTTGAATATATTTTACTTTACGTCGTAGCATATTATGTCAATAAAATTGTCCATTTCCATGTGTGCGCATTACGTACGAATGCGAGCATCGAGACCTTGATGCCGGCTGCATTGAAAGCCGCGCGATCAAATACTCGCAAATGATAAACTTCCTTCGAACGTATCGCACGAAGTTGCCTGCGACGTCTTTTTGCAAGTTGAGCTAGCCGCAGAGCGATGGAAAAGTTGGTGCGGTGCAACGTCGAGGCAGTTCGCCGAGCGGATCGCTCTCGCTGCTGCTGCTGCTGCTGCTGCTGCTGGCAATTTACTAAGTCGAGAACAATCCAAGTTCAGAGCTGCTGTGTACAAGTAAGCGGAAGCGGGCATCGATGCATTTGTGCACGCCACGCGAAACGAACCTCCTGGGCTTCTCCCGCTGGAGCGAGATGAAAGAAGAAAAAAAGGCCAGCTCGAGCGTCACGGCTTCGTGAACTATAAAGCGCCATACCAGCTCGATACACAAATGCACCGGCTTATTTACGATCGTTCGAATGCGCTTGTGTTTGATCGAAGCTGCCTTTTACGAAATGAATTCTCTACTGCAAATTAGAGAGGCCCCGAAAGCTCGCTTACAGTTTTTTTTGCGCACAAAAACTACAATTTTGCGTTAAGCAGTGGGCTGGATTTGAAATTCAGTTTCCGGCGCTGTGCGCGTACAACGCCACCACCGACCAAGGCATTATCCGTCTAAGCTAGCATTAATTAAAGCCACCAGCCCTTACTTGTACGTATAAGTACGTGCGCGCCTATATATCGTATATACATTTATGAGGGTACCTGCAATGGGGCTTTAACTTTTGTTCGTCCATTATTCGCGTGCGTGCAGACCCGGGCGAGAATTTGAAAAAAGAAAACACGCGGGCACATTATATAGTGGAGCCCAGTAAAACTTACATCATTATCGCTGAAACGAAATTTCGCTTCGTATTTTTAGCTATTATAACGTATATAACATGAGCAATACAGAAAAAAAATGACTGGTGGACGTGCGAGAAAAGTGCGAGTGTATGTGTATGTTTGCTTTCGCGCGTATAATTTTAAATCGAAACTCTTTTTGAAATATTAATCGATTGTTATGCTTGCCGCTGCCCTAAAATTAATCCGTATTTATTTTCGTTTGTTACAGGTACGTACACGTTCGCAAACCGAGAGAAATGAAACTCGTTCAAGTTTCGAGTGCGCAAAAATCAACATTTCGCAGCAGCGAATATTACCTTCGAGTAGCGGCCAAAAAAAAGTCGAAATTCATCGAGTACCATTACGAGACTCGCAGTATTAAATGTATAAGTATATGAATAGGTGTAGAAAATGTAGATAGATCTTACGAGAGAGCTCTAGACAATCGATGAATTGTCCGACTTTACGACTCTTACTTGGGTTCGATTGACAGGCTACGTTCTTAGTGTGGCTAAGTAAAAAATCATTGATAGGACCGATGATGTTTATTCAATTGCATAATTGCCAGCTCAATAAAAATTCGTTTAATTATCCGAAGGTTGCCGGCAACGTTACGACGCTCGTTCGCTCGAAAAGGAAAAACATTACTTTAAATGATGTTTTTCGAGAATCATTTTTCATACTAACTTACTGTAAGCTGCTTGATATTAATGTGCAGGTGTTATTCAACAATAATAAATGATACGTTTGCTACTTGCTGCACGTTCATGTAAAACCGATTGTTCTATAATACATGATGCTTTTTTCATTTTTTTCATTAATTACTATGCATTAGACAATTTATTTTAAAATTGACGTGTTTTTTAAATGTTCATCGATCGATTATAAATCAGCGAAGAAACTCAATGCTCACAATAATCGTTATAATAAACGAATTTGACGAACGAAGCTATCGCTAAAGTAATGTCGTTGCTTCGCAGTGGCATTCGTGTAGGTCCCCAAGCGCCGCGTTACCATCCATCGCGTGCGAAGCGCATCGCCAAGATTATCTTAAAAAAAAACCAGGTCAAAACGTCATTATTTAAGTCTCCCCAAGGGATGCCAAGCTACGCGCAAGAAAAACTAGAAATTTCAAAAGGGAATGAGCGAAATTTCGTGCGCAAAAACGCGACCTACTTTCATCCCCGAGGTAACGGCTCGTTGCGATAATCAATAGGACACGTTGTTTCTTGGCTCCTGCAGCGAGCAACGACCGAAAATTCAGCTGCAATTCGTTTCCGTGACCTCGGAAATTTCGGTAAAAAATAAGATTGCTCATCGGTGATAGACATTTTTAATCATCAAATATCGCAGTAATCGAAGGCGTGCCTCAATACTGAAATGTTTTTTTCGTTAAAAACAACTTTGAAGAGTAAGAGTAGAAGTTTTAAACTAAATTTCCAAAATTCTTTACGTGGCACTTATCTCAACATTGCATTGTGCACTGTTGGTTACATACATGTATTGTCACGTCCACTCGGCGCGTTTGCATAATACCGCAGTGATAATACACGAAATAAACAGTCGACATTTTTTACATAGTCTGTTATTCGTGTTTTTGAAAAGAAGATAAGATAAAATGCGATCTGGCGATTCGCATCGTGCGGCGCAGCTCGTATATTAAATTTTGCCTCTAAACATTGCACCGTGTGCGCATGCGAAGGAAGAAGATCGACGGTCGAGTTCCAGTTCCAAGTTTTATTTCATATGGTTTTCTTGATTAAATTGGATTTTATGGGTTTTCGAGTTTTCGAAAGTTCAACGACCTCGTATTGAAAACTCAATAACAATTATTGTGAATTGTGATGTTGAGTTACATGCTCGTCATTTTTCCTTTCTTATCATTGGAAAATTAAGATTGTTCATGGAAAATAAATATGTGATTGGTAAAATAAAAATTAAACAGGAAATTGGAGAAAATTTGGTGTGGAGCTTTCAAAGAAGACATAATATCGTTTGCCAATCGATCGGCAGTTGTACTTTGGTAAACGACTGCGCGTAATGCACACATGTACGACACATGCTTGGCGCGATGTAATACGTCATATTGTGTACACACACGAGCACACATACACACGTGCAAATGTCCGTGCACATATACGCACTTTCTAACCGGCGACTCTGTATTTAACATGCGTACGCGATAAAAGTCCGTTATAAGTTGGAGCTGCAGCTCCAACTAAATATACACATAATATACGCTATGTATATCAGAGGCGAGTCGCGATAACGATAGTGGTGACTTGTTTTTGCAGCTAATCAGCCTGCGTATTGAATGCGCGCGGCCTTTTTTTTTCGTGCGCACGATAAATTGCCAAAAGCACAGAAACGCGTCGCTGCAAATTCGTTATGTAAAAGAAGCGTATATGCATACACACGAGGCAGCGCGTTCGATGTTTGTTTCTCCAATCAGGCCGTGCAGCGCGAGAGCGAGAGTATCGCGTACGCGAAAAAGAAAAAAAAACTCGAAAGGTCGTGGAATAACAATGGCTCGTTTGCATACGTACATGCGTGACAGTCGGAGCTGTACTCGCGGGCTTTTCTCGTATATGTATAGGTACGTGCGTAGCTGCTCTCGGATATTATGACAATTGCGATCGCGAACGAGGAAAGAACCTGACCCGCGATCCCGCAAACAGCCAAGGTTATTATCAGCGGCGCTCGAGTCGGACTGTTGCAGCCGAAATAAGCGCACGGAATTATATCCGACCGCGCGGCGATCGCGTCTCGGCTCGCACTAGTTCGATCCGGTGTCTCTCTCGTGGCCCGAGCAATTTTCATATTAAGGGGGTGAAGCGAGGCACGCGCGGATGTGCATATTAACCCATTTAGAGCGCAGCAGCTCGAGCTCGTTCGTTGCTACTCATACTGCTTATTATACCTACGCGAGCAAGTGTCGCATGGGCAGCTAGCGAAAAAACAAAATTGTCGACTCGAGCCGTGTGTTACGCAGGCGGATCACGCCGCGTCGAACCCAGACGATCGCTCGGCAGCTAACGACAATCGAAGCCCGTCAAACGTCTTTTGCTACTGCGGAAACGCCGGAGAAAGTGATTCGATGTATATAATATATGTATATACAATAGCCGGCGCTGCAGCGAGCACATCGCATCGCTCTACTTTTTATACGTTTCGCAATTGCGCCATTGACAATTGTCACTTTTCTTGCAGGCGCGAAAAATCAGAGTGAAAGTCGCTAGCGAGCTCGACTTTTTTCCTTCCTTCCTTCCTTCCTTCCTTTTGGTCTCGCGTACCTTACGTGTAGCTCGCGGTACGACGCGAAACGTACATACGATTTCGATGAAACAGCTGGGCGACGAGAGACGACGCTCGTATACGTATACGGCAAGGAGAAACGCAAATTTCGTACCAACGAGATAATTCGAGGCGCAAGCAGCAGGAAAAACTCGAGCTACGCGTTACGCGCACGGGTCACGAGCTCGCGCTGCAATGATTTACATCCTCGCTGGCGTGCTCGAACGTGTGCGCGTACGCTCGTAAAATTTCAAGACGATTTCAGAGTTTGCCTTGTAACACGTATCGTACTTGCTGCAGCACTCGTGATAAGCTCATGTGACTCTGTGTGCTCACGAGCCGAGTCTGTCTCTCGCTTTGGTCTCGTTTCGAGGCTCCAACGCACTCGCGGAGCTCTGCAAATTTGCCCCGCTGAGCTGTTCGGCTCCCTTGAGTTCGGGAGACTCTTTAACTAACGTTGATGCACCTCTCTGATAATGGATTCATCGAACGCCAAGAGCTCGGTTTCCTTCCAAGCTGTATACACGAGCGTCGACAGTTTTGGGTCAGACGCTCGAATGTGTATGCGGGCGCGCATAAATCACGGTTTCGCGCGTCTTTCAAAAGCTACGCGATTTGCAGTTATTACGCATATATTATACCTTTCACAAAATGAAGATATAATGCTTAAAGTTGCTCGACGTTTCATAAGTATGATCCTTGCAAGGCGCGCGCATTTATACCGTATACCTGCCGCATGCCACCACTGCGACAACCAGAGCTCTTTTTCGGCAATTTCAGCTTCTGCGCGCGCGGCTAATTAGTCAAATTAAGGCAAAATTGCGTTACGACCAGCCGAGGAAAATTGACATTTTGACGACTTTGAAATTAACGGCGCGTCGATTAAGTCGGCGCAAGGGTAAATCTTAATTACCCGAGTCGGGGGATGTGCCGCAGTCGATCTCGACAGGGCGCAATTATTGCAGCTATGCTACGGCTCGCTTGCCTATACGTAGCCATGTTTTCACCGATGACTTCGATTATCGATGCGCATGGCAGCTATAAAACAGCATGGCAAAAACACATCCTACGAAGCTCCTCTCGCTATTTTTGCTGCTCCTATTTCGTGTCGTTTGGTTTTTATTGCCGAACGCGCGCGCTCGCCGACTATATGCTCTATTAGTATACCCCAACTTTTCAAGTCTCTTCTTGCGGCTTTGCGGTAAAATTTTAGAAAGTTTGCGTTCGTCAGATGACTCAACGGAAAATCTATAAACTCATAAAGAAGAGAGAGAGAGAGAGAGAGAGAATAATAGAGAAGGATAAAGTATATGATATTCCGTTTGGGTGTCGAGGAGATTACGAAAAAGGCCTAGTGGCGCGGCGGGAAAGTGTATTACTGCACACTGCCGTGTCCTATGAATAATTGATCGAATAATGAGCCTCGAGACGGAGCACTTGTATATCGTAAAATGGATTTTTTGTCCAACCCTCGCGATGACGACGACCACACGTGCATTTTATGGGCTTACAATATGCACGCACACAGACATGCGCTACAAGCCAATAGAAATGAAAAAAAGGCCAAAAGAGAGAAGTAGAGAGAAGTTCGTTCCTAATCCCAACTTTTCTTCTCGCGTGACTCCATAAATCTCTCGTGGAAAGGGCCAAAGTGTCAAGCTGGATTTACCGTACTCCGGCGATAGCGGCCGTAGTTTTTTCGGGCTTCTTCTTGTCCAGTGCATGGCACACGAGAGACCAGTGCGATATATAGATTTTGCGTGCATTAACTAGACCAAGTCGATTCTCCGTCGCAGTAGATCATTTGGAACGTGGCCAAAAATCGTATGTGTGTAGACTTCTCTTTTCTTTGATCCGAGCCTTGCACCCGCTCATGCGGCAGCGCTGGGAGAGCAGGGAGAAAAAAGCCGCACGCACGGATTCGGTAAAAAGATTATTTTTAATCGGCGCCAAGGAGATAACAGCCGCCTTAATAGCTTATATACACACACGAGTCATGAGTGAGAATTTAGCGCGCGCGGCTTTGTTGCGTAAAGATCATATAGGTAGCCTCTCAGGTGTGAAAATGATGGATGCACTTGATATTAAGTCTCGAACCCGTAGATTAATGATTTCTTAGGCTACGTTGAGTCAAAAAATCGTTGAATTCCCATCATACCGTGCGATCGTTGGCTTGTTTTTCATTGCACTCTCGGTGTTACTTTCGCAGCTATCAACTTGAAGCAGTACACCCCTTTTTTCTTTTAATTTTCACTCGACTCTAGTCAATGTCTGCACCTTTAGACAAATTGTGCGAGTAATTTATATATAATGTGTATCTCGAGAGTGAAATTTCCTCGGCACGAGTGATGACAAATAAAACGCCATCTCGCTCGTTTATTTCGTTTTTCAATTTTCAATTTGCCACAGCGAGAAAACTGACGAATCATCATCCATGCCATGCTCGACACCTGCCGTCTCGTCTGGGATTATTCGCAGTGCAATAATAGTTTTTTAATGTCGTTGCGCTACAGGTGACTCGCACACATACTGCCTCGCTCTCTTCCTCGAGGGGGCAAGGGTAACATTTTTTTCGCGACTCCGAGTTATCCTGAGCAGCAACTTTTTTCGATGCATATACACGAGGTACAGGCAGACAGATACACGCACTTTTGTAAATCCTCGTATAAGCTCGAGCTTATCCTTTCTCGTAGAAGCCGCAGATCTTATCCTCTTTTGACGTTTCGGGCGTTGTTCGCGCGCTTCTTCATCTTATTTTTTTCTTTTCTACCTCTGCGCTCTGTATAGCTAGACGCCGCGCGATGAGAACCTTTGTTGCAAAATTCACCGTATATTTCTCGAGATCATGTACAGTTTCTTATTTCTACTGTTACAGGCGGTATATTTTACATGCCTCTCGTTACGCTTGTTTCCGTTTTATCTTTTATTATATGCACTTTTTGCATCGCTACGGCCATGAATTGCACAACCAACGTGTACATATCTACCAAGTCAAAAGCTTCAAAATATAAGTTCATAATTCGTTTTTTTCTCGTTTCAAGAGGTAAGCGAGAGGATGACAAACTTAATTTTTATTTGCAAAGTCTTTCGCTATATAAGCGCAGACGCAGCTGCCTAGCTTGTACTCACGGAGGCACACAAGGAAGAGGAGTACGAAGATAAAAGTAAGAGGCACAGCAAAAAAGATAATACTTTGTTATGTTCCTGAAAGCGCGGCAGGAAGTCTAAATGTACGCGCGATAAAATGTGCTAAGGCCGCGTACGATAATAGGCCAAATCAGTGCGTCGTTGCATGTGTACGAAGGTGTATTGGCCGCTGCTCGGGGCCCCTGCGTCTAAGATGACTGAAAAGCAAGACGTTCTCTCTCGCGTTCACGAGATCGGTGTCTCTTTTCAGTCTCTGTCGCTCGTAGACGCGACGAGAAAAGTGAGTCACTGCCTTTCCAGTTTGGTGTCTTGAGAAACACGACTTGACTTGCGTTAGCTCGCGGTTACACCTGATGACTATGCCACTCGTCTCCGCGCTCACGTCTCTTCATTTTGTCGTTTTTTTTTTCTTTTTTTTTTAGTCGAGCGAAGGAAAGTGCAAGGATCTGATACGCGCTCGATGAAGTCGGTAATGATAGATCGTAGCCGACTGGGCAATTAGGCTCGGACAGGCATGCACGACTGCGAGTGTGCCGAGCATCGACAAGAGGACATTGAAGCTCAGTCAAGTTGAAGCTGCGGCGCGCAGAAAAGCAAAACCTATTAAGCACGCATGCGTGCGCCAGCGAAACTATCCAAACAACGCAACAACATTTATACGTTGTATGCGTAAAATTATCTTCCCATAAATAACGAATACGTGAGTGAGTGATGCTTCTTCAAGTTAACTTGAAAGCGAAACCTCATATAATACTTTTGTAAGCAGCTTGGCTTGCCTCTGCAGCCAAGAAATTCGCATAATAATACCTTATTACGAGGCGTTTATCATACGAAATTATTACATAAAATTCCAGGCGCGTCGCACTATGTTTTTCGATAGTCGTAAAAAAAGTGCATTGCAGTGCCAACGAGAGTTAAACATATATATACGAGCGAGTAATTTTGCTTCGGTAGCCGCTTGCGACCGGTTTCAATTTTAACAGTTAGCAATGCATATACGCAGGAGGAAAATGAAACGCGCTCGCGATAAATGTCCCAGAGTTTCAAGAGAGAAAGAATAAAAGTGCGGCTTGTCTCGCCGACAAATCTGCCTTGACAAAACGATGACAGCGACGATGAATCAAGGAAAAAATGCTTGATTAGGTAAAAGAAAGTTACAGACGAGTTCGTTAAGAGTTAGATTGAATTTGATATTTAAGTGGATCGAGATTTATTTAGCATGTGTGGAGCCGGCGCGTTACATAAAACCATACAAGGATCAAATGTGCACCGACAAAATTACATTAAAAAATTGATAAATGAATGGCTTATCATATGGGCCACGAGGCAAAAACCTCTCTGGCACCGGTTATAGTAGATTAATTACGATAAATAATTATTTTGCAGTAAATTATGTAAGAGATAAATGAATATCGACCGTAGCATTTGAGGGTATATCGTAAAAAGGTCTTTGATTGATTCTGAATTTGCTTTGTTAATTCGTGATATATACTGACCGGAATGAAATCAATTCTCTCGCAAAACAGTACATATATACTAGAGATAAAGAGAAAAAGAGAGATGGTTTTAAACTAGCCCCAATGGCATTTAATAAATTAATTTCATAAAATCTATAACGAGCGAGAAACTGTTGCCAATCCTCTGACGCTTCTCCTGCGTAAACTTTAATCAAACTTTGCGCTTTAATTTATTTTTATGAGTTTTATTCTGAAAAAAACCCAAAAAACAAGGTCAAAGCATTACGGCACCTTGACAAACTGTGACTGCGATAATATCGATCGGTGCCGCTTGCATCGCTGCAGTATAACCCGAAAAAAAAGGAAAAAAATTTATTAAACGCTGGAAAATGTCTTGTCTGACTCGAGCGGCTTTGAGTCGTGAGCCGGCTCTTCCTTTTGGCTTCGACAAGACGACCGCGACCTTATCCACTTGCCCCTCGAGGCCAATTAAGGGATTCAACTTTAAAATTCGTTTCCAACTTGTTAGTCGGGACGTCGGGCGAGATTCGACTGTCTGATAAGAGCTACTCTCAGAGCCTGAGAAAGCGTAAGCCTGCACCGATTTCTCGTCTCGATTCAGCGTTTGTTGCGGATTTAGATTTTTGCAGGTTAGGTGCGGATAGAGCGGACGATTGGGCGCCAGATAAGAGCGCGCAGAGAACTTTGAATAGGCTTGAAGTACAGAAAAATGCATTCTTGGTTTTACTCGCTTTTTTCCCCTCTTTCTTGTACATTGCGGTCTTTCGCGTACCGCTGCAGTGCACAGGCTTTTATCGCGCGCGCCACGCGAGCATAAATCCCGAAGCCTCGTCAAAATTACAGTCTGCTCTCCTATATACATGCATGTTGTATGCAAGCCCATATATACGTACACCGACAGTAACAACAGCCGCATGCGGTCACCGCCACGGCTTTCCTTTATACCGTTCTTTTGTCCCTTACTTTTTGCCAAGCGAACCTCGAGCTAGGCCGAGCGACAACGACCGAGCGGCCATGCAATGAACGAGTAGTACACCGTCAAGACGCTTTTTGAAAATCATACCTGTGAGCTCCTAAGCCGCAGACTAATCGGTCAATGCGCAAAAAAAGTCATTCTACACTTGCCCAAGCGCTGATGCAATAACTTTAGACGCGATGATGATTTCCACTCGCGGCATAATCCGACCATAGATCAAATAATGCCGTTTTGAATGCAGCAACAGAACGATAAAAGAAACCATACCGCCGAGCTTTGGAATCCGTGACGAATTAATAAAATGATATGCGGAAAAAAAGAAACAAAATACACCAGTAAAATTACATCGGTGGCTTGGGCACGCGTAAAGTAATTTTCGCGGGCACGCGCGCGTAGAAACAGTTGTGTTCGCGGGCACATCTGCATTTACAATGCGGCACGTATAGGTATGTGCGTATTTCTCGCGAAAAGGACGCTCTCGCAGGAAAGAATATTTACCAGCACGAATCGTACGTGCCATAATTTTGTCGGCTCGTATATTTATGATTTTTGTCTTCTCTGTTACAGGATTCATCAATTGCAATAGCAACCCGACGCTGCAATCGCTCGCACAGATGCACGGTAAGTGTCGCAATTCATACTTACGACGTTGACATTTTTTCGTACGAGGTGTCGCGTGTTTTTACATTCTGAGACACATCTTTTTGAAAATTATTACCACCGATATCGAATCGAATGAAAACCTCGAGGAAGGCGAAAACTCGCTCAACTCTAATAATGGTAAAAAATCTCATTGGGTAGTGGCATCTACGCATGCTCGATAAAAAAAAATATCGACTTTGGAAGCTAAGAATTGTGCGCGTGCCCGCGAGCCGTGTCAGCGAAATTCCTCGTAGCTTTTACGCTCGTGAATCGCTCGCGCTGACTGCCGCAAGGTGAAAATATCTAAGAAAGAAAGAGACCGAGTATTGAAAACGATGAGAAGCAAACGACGGCTGTGTGCTCGTAAATTGCCAAGTCTCGTCGATGGACGCGATTGAGTCCTTTCATTTTTCCGCGCTTTTCCGAACTACGAGGACGGCAACGACGACACCCTAACGAGTCTCGAGCTTCGAACAAAAAAGTTCCAAGTGTCCGCGCTGCTAAATTTTCGACTTTGCACCGCGACCAATAGGGACATTCTGATTCGGTCGCAAGTTTAGCTCGATCCGAGCGCGCAACAGCGAAACAAGTTTCGACGAGAAAAGCTTCTATGGGAGGTGGAGGTCAAGTAAGATCTACATAGAAGCTCCCGGATGTACACACGAGTGCTGGTTTTCCGCTGACATTCGAAACCGCGCATGTATGCTCGAGCCGAAAGTGCCAAACATTAGGGCTAAAAGCTTTTTCACCTCCCTGTCACGCGCACTTCTTTCTCCCTTGGCGCGTCTCCACCGCTGGAATATATACACACGATACGGCCGAAATTTTCCGGCCTTGTTTGTGCTCTGGCATTAAAAATGAATAATCCCGAAATCAACGTTTGCTACGCGGTATTGACTTGCAACGCCGATGATGATTTTGTATATTGTGGTCGACGCTCGCTTGCCGTTATAGTTTGTGGTTTTTAACTCACGTGCTTTTATCGTACTTGATAACCTTCGCAGCGAGTATGTGCGCATTGATGTGCAAAGTGTCGACTAATAAAACAATAACAATATAAATTATTCATTCGATTCTTTATCTGAGTCATTTACTGTTACAATCGAACTAAATAACGTAACGTTTAAACAAGTATGAAACAACATCCTTTTATAAACGTGCTACGTTTATTATTCTCGTGCAACCTCGAATACATTCATTTTTTCCTGCATTTGTTTGTTCTTAAAAAAAAAAAAAAAAAAAGATACACCTATGTGCTTCTGTGGTATGGCGAATATAATGATTTACTTGTAATGGAGCCATGAGAAGTGAGACAAAAAAAAAGTTAATACCCGCGTAGAAAAAAAAATGAAGGAAAAGTGTAGGAAAAAAAAGTGTAGGAAAAGTGTAGGAATACATTCGGAGATACACTTTTGCTACACTTTTTCCTCGCATTGATAATCGTAAAATTCTACGATTACTTCGAGGATGTCACTCGTTCATGCTCGATTGGTGCACCGCGAATTGGTAGTCGAGAGCCAGGACGTAATATTGCCCTAGAGGACGACTTCCTCGAGGAAGTCGACGGGGTTTTACCCGTTCAGAGCACCACGTCGCGCTAGACGGGTACCAGGTGGAAATATTGTACTTTTGGACGATTTTCTCGAGGAAGTCGACCGGGTTTTACCCGTTCACAGCACCACGTCACCCTAGTCACGAACCAGGTGGAAATCTTGTACTTTTGGACGACTTCCTCGAGGAAGTCGACCGAGTTTTACCCGTTCAGAGCACCACGTCGCGCTAGACGGGTACCAGGTGGAAAATTGTACTTTTGGACGATTTTCTCGAGGAAGTCGACCGGGTTTTACCCGTTCACAGCACCACGTCACCCTAGTCACGAACCGGGCGGAAATCTTGTACTTTTGGACGACTTCCTCGAGGAAGTCGACCGAGTTTTACCCGTTCAGAGCACCACGTCGCGCTAGACGGGTACCAGGTAGAAATCTTGTACTTTTGGACGATTTTCTCGAGGAAGTCGACGGTGTTTTACCCGGTCAGAGCCCCACGTCACCCTAGTCACGAGCCAGGTGGAAATCTTGTACTTTTGGACGACTTCCTCGGGGAAGTCGACCGAGTTTCATCCGTTCAGAGCACCACGTCGCGCTAGACGGGTACCAGGTGGAAATATTGTACTTTTGGACGATTTTCTCGAGGAAGTCGACCGGGTTTTACCCGTTCACAGCACCACGTCACCCTAGTCATGAACCGGGTGGAAATCTTGTACTTTTGGACGACTTCCTCGAGGAAGTCGACCGAATTTTACCCGTTCAGAGCACCACGTCGCGCTAGACGGGTACCAGGTGGAAATATTGTACTTTTAGACGATTTTCTCGAGGAAGTCGACCGGGTTTTACCCGTTCACAGCACCACGTCACCCTAGTCACGAACCGGGTGGAAATCTTGTACTTTTGGACGACTTCCTCGAGGAAGTCGACCGAGTTTTACCCGTTCAGAGCACCACGTCGCGCTAGACGGGTACCAGGTAGAAATCTTGTACTTTTGGACGATTTTCTCGAGGAAGTCGACGGTGTTTTACCCGGTCAGAGCCCCACGTCACCCTAGTCACGAGCCAGGTGGAAATCTTGTACTTTTGGACGACTTCCTCGGGGAAGTCGACCGAGTTTTATCCGTTCAGAGCACCACGTCGCGCTAGACGGGTACCAGGTGGAAATATTGTACTTTTGGACGACTTCCTCGAGGAAGTCGACCGGGTTTTACCCGTTCACAGCACCACGTCACCCTAGTCACGAACCGGGTGGAAATCTTGTACTTTTGGACGACTTCCTCGAGGAAGTCGACCGAATTTTACCCGTTCAGAGCACCACGTAGCGCTAGACGGGTACCAGGTAGAAATCTTGTACTTTGGCACGACTTCTGCGAGGAAGTCGATCGAGTTTTAACCGTTCAGAGCACCACGTCGCGCTAGACGGGTACCAGGTAGAAATATGTACTTTTGGACGATTTTCTCGAGGAAGTCGACCGGGTTTTACCCGTTCACAGCACCACGACACCCTAGTCACGAACCGGGTGGAAATCTTGTACTTTTGGACGACTTCCTCGAGGAAGTCGACCGAGTTTTACCCGTTCAGAGCACCACGTCACGTTAGACGTGTACCAGGTGGAAATCATGTATTTTTGCACGACTTCTGCGAGGAAGTCGATCGAGTTTTAACCGTTCAGAGCACCACGTCGCGCTAGACGGGTACCAGGTAGAAATCTTGTGCTTTTGGACGATTTTCTCGAGGAAGTCGACCGGGTTTTACCCGTTCAGAGCACCACGTCACGCTCGATGTGTACCAGGTGAAAATCTTGTACTCATGGTCGATTTTACTCAAATTTTCAAATAAAAATATCCAGCGAGATCGACGTAATTAAAACAATAAATGTATATTTTTCTTACATTTCTAGTGAAATACATTAATTATAAATCTGTCATTACTTTTAGCAAAAATTTTTTTTTTCATCGTACATGATTTTCGTTAAAACTTCCATTTCTATCAAATTGATCGGCTCAGCTATATATGATGAATCTAATGTTTGTATGAAAAAACAAACATATTAATATTTATAAATGTTCATAAATATTACTTAAAAACCACATTGTGTAATTGCATGTAAAATTGTATTTGTCAGGGAAATCAACACGCTGTTATAAAGAGAATCAACATTTTAGGAAATGTCCTTCAAAACAAATTAGATAGAATAAACAAAACGTATATTTATTAATGTAAAAGATTTACAATGTGTTTGTTTTTTTATACAAACATTAGATTCATCTTATATAGCTGAGCCGATCAATTTAATAGAATTGGAAGTTTTAACCAAAATCATGTACGATAAAAAATAAAATTTTGCTGAAAGTAATGACAGATTTATGAAAAATTCATTTCACAAGTAATGTAAGAAAAATATACATATATTGTTTTAAGTACGTCGATCTCGCTAGAGATTTTTTTTTGAAAATTTGAATAAAATCGTCCAAAAGTACATGAAATTCCACCTGGTTCGTGACCAGCGTGACATGGTGCTCTGAACAGGTAAAACGCGGTCGACTTCCCCGAGGAAGTCGTCCAAAATTACAATATTTCCACATGGTTCGTGACTAGCGCGACGTGGTGCTCTGACCAGGTTAAACCCGGTCTACTTCCTTAAGAAAATCGACAAAAAGTACAAGATCCCCACCTGGTACCCGTCTAGCGTGACGTGGTGCTCTGAACGGGTAAAACGCGGTCGACTTCCCCGAGGAAGTCGTCCAAAAGTACAAGATTTCTACCTGGTACCCGTCTAGCGCGACGTGGTGCTCTGAACGGGTAAAACTCGGTCGACTTCCTCAAGGAAGTCGTCCAAAAGTACAATATTTCCACCTGGTACCCGTCTAGCGCGATGTGGTGCTCTGAACGGGTAAAACCCCGTCGACTCCCTCGAGAAAGTCGTCCTCTAGGGCAATGTTACGTCCTGGCTCTCGACTACCATGGCGCGGTGCACCAATCGGGCATGAACGAGTCGACATCCTCGAAGTAATCGTAGAATTTTACGATTATCAATGCGAGAAAAAAGTGTAGCAAAAGTGTATCTCCGAATCTATTCCTACACTTTTCCTACACTTTTTTTTCCTACACTTTTCCTTCATTTTTTTTTCTACGCGGGTATTGTAAGGATTGTGCTGCGAGTTACATCGGCTCGATTCACCGTTGACATTAATATTGCGTGCGAAGTTTTTAGTTGTTTCGCGCTAAATGTGTATATGTTTATTTCACTTAGGCACAAATACGAAAGATATAGAAAGTGCAGAGTTGCACTAATTGCGTGCGAGCAGCCATATACACGTTGTATGTGCGTGCGTGTATCTGGACAAGCGTAGAACCGCACGATGAATTATTCAGTAGATGAAAGTGCAGCAGCGATTTTATGTGGATCATTTCGTATAGCTATTATAGGTG